GCTCGTTCTCGGCTATGACACACTCATTGACTATGGATACCTTATACTTATCATACTTATAATCTCCATATTCATTAAGGTGACATGCATGTATTATATATATAATCAGATTAATTATTTTATTAAAAATTATAATATAAAAGTAATAAGAAAGAAGATTTATATCCACTTTTACAATATTGATCTTTTTAGTCATTTACATTAATATGAAAAAGAGTAAAGAGATCGCAATTATTACGGAAAAATAAGAAGTCTAAAATTATTGTAATAAATGAAGCGTGATACACGAATGTGGTTTTTTTTATAATAATTCGTATTAATATATTTTGTATAAGAATTTTGAAAAAAAAATTATATTGAATTTCTTAATAAATGCAAAAAACTTGTCTTTCCAATCTAGTATTTTTTAATTTTCTTACAAACTCTTTATCTCAAATATGTAATTAAAGGGTCTATTTTAAGACAATTAATTTGCTATAATGGCTACTAATTATATATTGTAAAATTAATATAATCTGAAAATATTAAATATAGTAGTTCCACTTGCTCTCTAAAATTAAGATTGACGTGCGGAATATCTCTCGCGGAAAAACATAAGCAGAGACTGTAATAAATTAGTTTTATTTATTGTAACAATATCATTAGCAAATTGTATCTTTTCGTGATTTCGTACGTAGATCCCTAGCCTTAAAACAGATTCGGTCGATCCCGAAATAAATGTCGCCGAAAGCGATTTGCATAACGAGGATGCAGAAGGTTGCTAAATGGTAGCAATGAGGGGGAAGTTGTGGTACGCCATTAACACCAATTGTGGTTTCATCAATTTTCATCCGCGCGGCTTTTGGACCGGTACCGGACAGTAAAGGTGTCAAGCGTGACGCTCGGCAAAACGACGATTTTCGGTCAGCCACGGTTACCAGCTGCGCTCCATGATGTATCAAGGACAGTCACGACTATTTCGTGAGCGGACGCATGGTACAGTCAATAATTACTGCAGCTTTGTGTGGTCCCGAACGCAGCTTATACAGCACCAAGACTGGCTTCGACTAAACTGCGTGTTATTAAAGCACACATATGGCGCGTGCATATACGATATGTACCATACGCTGTACATCTATAGCATAGATCAATCGACTAATGTGCTACAGTACGATAACTAACACCAGTCACTTGGTACTTGCAGTATCAATTAATTAAACCAATACGTTTATTTTAATTAACCAATATATTAATTTACTACCGTTAACCACAAATACCTGCAAAACTGTATTGAAGACATTCATTATGAGAATGTATGACATTCAGGGAACGAACGGTTGTGTTAAAGTATCTAAAAATTTAGGTAATAGATCCGAAAATAACTTTGTTGAGCCACTGAAATAATTATGTATTGTAAGATTATTTAAACAATGCTGGACAAAATTTTGATATTCTAGCAACCAGTGTGAGTACCTTATAATTATTTCGATAGTCCAACAAAATAATAATATATTTTCAGATTTGTTGAATTTTTAGATATTTCATTAAACCATTCTACTTTATGTTGTAATCGTAAAAACTTGTCATTACAGTGATGTTATGAGAGCGGATTTATAAGACTATCACGCACGATTCAAAATGTCAATTATAGTAATTCCGAGAGTAACGTTGATTTAGGCATTAATTAACGCGCATGTCAAAGCATTTTCAAGTTTCCGAGTCTCGGTCGCGTCTCGCTACTTAGTTCTTAACGATAAACAACAAACTACCTTCGTACGACGGTCCTCCATATCTTTCGCACATTACCGCGTTACTCCTCGGCGTCAAAGACGACGGTAATTGCGCCTCTTGCGCAATATACGTTACTTACAAATCTCTTAATTAATTCGTGCCACGACCCACTCGAGAATTACTTTCACATCGCCAAACGTGCGCATCTTCTTGCTCCGGTGACTCCTCTCGAGTCTCGTCATCCTCTTCTCCCCTCTCGTACTCGGTATCCTCACATTGTTCTTGTTTCCGTCGAGCGACTTCGTTTAGCGAAACTTGCCATCGAAGGAAGCTTATCTAGTATAGTCACGGCTTCCGCACACAAATCAGGTAGTATCGAACATCCAATAACTAATTAACAACTCCGTGGTACTTGGATATCTTTACCCGAGACAATCAGATAACAAAAGTATTATCGGTAATAAAAGACCGGTTTCATGTATTTTGCGTGAAAGATTTTAATACGCGCGCGTATAAATATATTAAAATCATTCGTGTTTTTATTAGATATCTTGTTTCAAAAATGATGAAGAATAATATATTTTTGTAAAAATAAACCGTGCGAATTAAAAGAGGCAATTCAATATTCAATAAATGCGTTCGGAGAGCGCTATTGACGTTATTTGTGTCATTCTATCTTCATCATTCAGTAGACGTGAAACGAGGATACCGATGACACAAATAGCGCTTATCGTATTTTCCGAACGCATCCAATGTGTTTACATACCAGTGGTAAAAGCGTATGACTAAAATAGTATCATATACGGTTCAATCAAACATCGCATTTCTGCAAAAACATTACGTTTATTCATGTTATTTTTGAACAATGCCTGCAGCAAATCACGTCGAATAAAATTGCAATGATTTATCACTTAAGCACAGTCTACAAGGCAGTCTCAAATTTATTTTAAAGTTACAAGAAGTGTCATCGTAGTATCAGTAATAAAAGATCTGTTTCGTATACTTTGCGCAAAGTGTTTTTTTTTAATACGCGTGTATGTTAAATTTGTCGTTTACGTTTTTATCACATGTCTTGCTTCAAAAATGATGGAAAATAATATATTTTTATAAAAATAAACTGTATAACATACTGGCGTGGGCAATCCGTTATTCAATAAGTATACATGCTAGTAGTGAAAGCGTGTGTCTGAAATAGTATCGTATACGATTTAATCAAACGTCGCATCTCTGCAAAAACGTAACGTTTATTTCTGTTATTTTTGAACAGTGCCCGCAAATCACGTCGAGCAAAATTGCAATGATTTATCGCTTAAGCGTAGTCTACAATGCAGTCGTAAACTCATTTCAAAATCACCCGAATGGTCATAACATCGAATATTGACACTTCTGATTGGCTATCGCGACCGCTCTTGCAACTTTAAAATAATCATAAACGAAGGACAATGCTAATTATAGCCAGCACTGATTGATCGTGTAAATTATGATTTTAAAATAAATTTATGATCACATTATATAGTAGAACGGTTAATATCACACATTAAGCATGTGAGATATGAACCACATTGGTATAAGGAAAAGAAAGTATCGTATTAGAACAATATTACTTGTCTTAAAAGTAATGTATCTTTAAAGTATTAATGTAATTTAAATATTAATATAAAGAAAATATAAAATTTTCTTGCATTTTGCATTTCTCAAAATCGATTATATTTACATTAGCCAAATAGTAGATCCAGGTAGTATAGGACATTTCAGCAATATTGCAGTTGTTGCAACATTGCTGGGATGTTCCATGCTCCAGGCATGATCTCTAATATCACAAAGCATGTATAAATACCTGATTATCTCACATTCCGTGGCTACATTTTTCTCTGCACGCTGCACTCAACAAAATATTCATTGTACCAATAAGTAATTAAAAAGTGGAGATGTTAACGAAACGCGCGCAGACTCGCGTCACGTTTGGACAATAAAAATTTCACAGTTTCCCACGGTAGGACGCTAATGGCCTCGAACATTCTTGCACGGTGCAACTCTCTTTCGAGATGCCGCGCTAATTTTATCCCGTTAGACTTGGTGAAGCGAGCGACACGTGGCGATATAAGTGTCTCTCTTGAAACTAATGAAGTATAATGTACGTAACGTGCTCCATCCATACAGCGTTCTATTATAACGTTATTTTCGCGACAGCCTACTTCCTATACATCGAACATCGTGATGTCTTATATCGACATACTTTATGAAGGAACGCTCAACAATCTTTGATTGAAGCGATATCAACAATATCAATATTATTATACATATACATTATGAAAAATGTCACACAAACAGCAAATGTAGGTGTTTCGTTCTTCAAATATACTTTCATAAATACTTTCTTTTAATTTGCATTGAATCTCAGACAAAAGTATCACATAAGTGATGTTTCAGTCAAATATATATCTTTAAGTCATGAAATAAATCTGTTCAAAACTTAGTTTGCAAACTAACGCTCCTATCTCTTCGCGTCGTCTCATTGAGCGAGACAAAAGGAAAACAAAAAGAATAGACGCTAAAATTTTATCCAGTGGGACTGGCTGTTCTAATGTGTATTCTTTTTTGTTTTCTCAACGAAGCAATAGCAGAAAAGCCAAAGCGTTTAGCCCTGAGACTAGACTTTTGCACAAGCTCGGATCTACAATAGATGTAGTAAGATCGTAAGAAATTAACCAATTACAGTTTAATGTGAAGAGAATAATCAACTATAATTTTTCAATTTCTTACGATTTAAAGCTTATTACATCTGTAGATCCGGGCTAACGCTGATTTTACATTAATCGCAAATTGAGCACAAGCTTGTTGCGATGGTCAATCTACGAGAGAAGAGTCAATTTTAAAATAAAATGCACTTTCTACAATAAACCGTTAGTTACTATATATTATGCTAGTGGTAAGTCTGAATTATAAGTCATAAATCTTAGAAAATTTACATCCAGCATAAATCATATTAGATCGTTATATCACAATATTTCAGCCAATCAGAAGGATAATTCTCAGAGTAAATAATAATATAATTGGCCAGTCATAAGTAATCTAAGTTTTAAATCATAGGAAATGGAATTTGGCCATCTTTTACGTAGTCACTGACTTATTGTTGCTTTATAACTACTGATTCGATTTCAACTCGTTCCTTACTTCTGACCTATTATAACTAACGGTTTATTGTAGAGAGTCCATTAGAGAATCACTTAGTCTTCCATTTCATTTCATGGAAATGAAAGGCTCTGATTGGTTGATTTTGTTATGCTTTATGTAAAGGTCTGTGCTCTAGCTTTTTAGCTCGTGAGCTAAATTTTGAACAGACCTGATATAGACAGTAATCAACAGGTTCCGTGATTAGCATGACTTGCGCAAATATCCAACTTTCGTCGATCTCAACAAAAATCCGGTACATTCTTTAGTTTATGTCTCAATTGCTCACAGATCGACTTCCACTGCCAATGGAATCCTGCCTAACGACGTTTATTTTCATCGGCAGTACGATACCCTGGGCGATGCCATAGTGTTCATACGCATCTTTTCCATAGGCTACGTTTACCTCTTCGGCCCGTTGACCGGGTTTGTTCATGTTCGATGACGAACTCGTCGGTGAAGCAGCCGAGGGTGCACCCGCGATACCCTGCAGCGCGTTGAAACTCTGCATTGCCAAGTGAGAAGTGGCTGACGTTGTGATTTGCGTCGCGATTGAAGGCGAGCCTTCGATTCGGCCAGGGAGAGCGCTATTAGAAGGCTGGGGCTCGACTAGAGACGCGTTGCTTATTATCGCCGCCACAGGTGCTCTATCAGTTCGAGCGACCGGTGTAGGGATTGATCTCGCCGCTCGTGAAGTCGATAATATAGCAACGGAAGGATTGTTCGCTCGGATTGTCGTCGGATGTGAGGTGACAGATGTCTTTGCTGACGCACGTGGCGGTAACGAGTCCTCCATTTCCGAGGTTCGTAAAAGTGTCGCGGACTGTGTCTTTCTCGCCAAATCGGTCTGAGCTTCAGCCGAGTGCTTTTCTGAAAACGGCGCTGTATGAGCGCGATTCTTTCTGGCTGGAATTTGCGGGCTCATCGGTACAACTCTACCAGTGCTATCCGAGATACCGGAGGTTTTAGGCGGCGATTGTTTGACAGAGACAACTGCGACTGGTTGCACGGAGAGTGGCGATTCATCTCGAGAGTTGTTAGCGTTAATCCTTGCTTGATCTTTGATATTTCGGCCATTGGCACTAGGCATGGACGATTGAAGATTGCTCGCGGAGAAATCATTCGTTGTCGGTGATGCGAGGACATTCACCGAAGAAAGGTCATGAGTTCGATCACCGCCGTTCCTTACGGTGGCGAGATTTGGATCACCGTTGGGAAAGCTGGCGAAGCGCGCAATCGTTTCTCGCTCTTCAGCTACTTGAGGAGCGAAGGGTATTTTTCTTTCGACAGGTTTTACGGGCACTCTGTTTTTCGACGCGACGCGATTCTTCGCGACCCTACTGTCTCTTCTCTTTCTAGAATTATTTGTCGTGGCGCTTGGACGTCTCTCCGGAAAATGCCTGCCTCTCATGGAGATTGATTCTGCCTCCTCGCTTCCGTCATTGTCCTTGTCTTCATCTTCATAGAACTCCGAGTCGTCGTAAACATCAGACTCGTCCTCCTCGTTCTCCTCGGCGATCGCGCTAGCTTGTATCCATTCTCTGATACGAGCCTTCTTCTTCGAATGGTCCACCGTTGTCTCTATTCCATACGTCGTAAGAGTGTGGAGAAGTTGATTCTTTTCCTCTAAGGAACTGTGGAAGCTGTACATAGACGGGCATAACTCGTCCCTTTCGTCGGCGCCGCCTGCAGATAAAAAGAAATGTCGCTAAGGTATCGTGACGTATCATCGATATTATCGCGATGCAAAGTCAACTGACCGTTCAACGCTTTTTCGACCCCGAGTTTCGCTAGCCATCTGTCTTCTAAATATTTATTTACTTCCAATACGCTGACTGGTCGCTTGTCAATCTTCGGGTCCAATAGCCTCTTGAACATTCTTTATGAAATGCCGAGTATTTATTTAATTATGTGTTTTGTCAATGTTATGGGCGTATCCAGAAGAAGAGGAAAGGATTTTGAAAGGGTTCAACTCTCTCCCCGAAATTTCTTTCACTATATTTTGCCTTGTTATATTTTGTTTAATTTTTTAGAAAATAAAATAAAACTTATAATTTATAAAATCTAGTATTTTTTCCATTCGAAATCAGAATCGAAACAGAGACAAATAATTCGTTTTGTTTGTTTTTTTACAATTGGTTTAAGATGTATTCGTGACATTCTTAAATTCTTATTATAATAAGAGATAAATTCCTAGTCGCCGCTTGTCACGAACAACAATACTCTTAACAATCTTATAATGAACGAAAGACAGCGCAGAAAAGTGAATGAATAATAACTAACTATGTCATATGAGTGCACATTGATGGGGCTGGCGCTTAATTTCGCATTCTCAGATTCCCGAGTGAAAACTCACCTCTGCGCCCGCGAGCTGATCAGCTGAAATAATTTCGGTTTCTTGGCGATGTTAAGCGTCGCGTTGTGCCAGTTTTGATATCTGGTATAGCGCGGATCGTCCATCGCTGCTTTCTGCCATGGCAGGCATCCGGTCAGGCAGACAAATAGGACAATGCCGAATTGCCAGACGTCATGCGACGTGCGAGCTCTGAAAGTCATCCGTCCATCATCGTTAGAATGCATATTCTCAGCAACAATGTTCGAACTATCACCGAAAAGGCTTAACAAGAATGGTATTTTAGTGAGAGCAAATAGAATTTCTAGTTATAATAACTAGAAAGAAATACTGCTCGATCTTCTTAAAATATGCCATTCCTTTTGGGTCCTTTTGTTGGTTTAATCAGAATATTTTTCTTAGTCAAGTATTATTCATATACACCAATCGCGTTTTTCATATCCAATCAAAATTTCGGGGACATGTAATATTTAAAATTAGAATTTTGAAACTTCTCAGAGAAGATGGACCTGAATTTTATCCTACTTTCTCTTTCATAATCAGACCTTATACTTAAGACTTCCTTAAATTTATCTTTAGATACTCACAGACAATGAAATAATTCGTAGAGCATCTAAAGATGAATTTAAGGAAGCCTTGAATATAAGACTTGACTATGAATACGGGCATTAATATTCTTTCTTCCTCTTTTAATTTTCTGTGCGCATAAATATCACGTGACCATAAAAACGAATAGTATTTTAAGACCAATTACAGGAAATATATATAATTACTTGTACGTCTCATCAGTGTCGATCTGCAATACCTCAGGCGGTGAATACGGCAGCCACTCGTTATGTCTTCGCACGACGGTGTTAACTCGTCTAGTCTCGCCGAAGTCGCAGAGCTTGATACGCGAAAAATCACTACGAAACACGAGTATATTGTCGAGTTTGATATCGCGATGCACTAGTTCGCGGCTGTGTATGTGATGCACCGCGGCGGCGAGTTGCCTGGCCACCCTCTTCGCGTGCAGCTCGCCCAACCCTGTCTCCGTCACGTTCGACGTGAGATCGCCTGAAAATCGATGACACGATAACTGAGATGTATTTTCGTGCAACGACAACGCGAATATCATGCTCTTTGCAATGACAATCGTTTTATAAATGACATCGCACCTTTCACAATGCAATATTTAGAATCATTGCTTATCGTTGCATAGTACAACAAGTATTTAAAATTGCATAAACAATAAATGCAAAATTTGTACGATCTTATTTATGTAGGTACGTAGAAATAGGTCCATTGAGCTCTGATTAGATATTGATAAAAGATCGGAATAGATACGAGAGTAGTGCATTAGCAGTGAGATAACTAATTATAGATACTAAGACGAAGTGACACATGACAGGAGATATAACTCAAAGTCTTGTTCAAATCCCGATTGGGGTTCCGTAATTTATTTTCGACTGGCCCTTACATGTATACTTACACGATTTTATATATAATTTATATTTATATAAAATTATACACTTATTCTTTTAATTAAAAAATGTTGACTATTTGTCGAAATATAAAACACATGCTATAACTTACTTGAATTCATTAACTTTTTATATTAAATTTATACAGATAAAAAATAGATTGCATAGCGGATTCAGAATTAGAAATTAAAATTAACTTAATGAATGGCGCCTGATTTGTGAGTTGCACAAAAAGTTGTCCGCGCACGTGCAAGCGAACGTCGTAAAAAAAAAAAATCTCTCACCCAATGGGGCGTATTCCTGACTGAAAACGTAGAAGCCGGCCGTCTCGAATGCCACGTCATAGGTGGTTATAATGTTTCTGTGTGCCGACAGATGTAACCCATAATGAAATTCCCGAAAGAAGTCCGAGATGCTGGTGTACGGCTTTGGCAGGGCCTTCAGCACCATCTCGGTTTGTGTGCTGCGATGCTCGGTCAGCAGGATTTTGCCGAACCATCCCTCACCGACGATCTGCAGGATGTCGAACTCGTCGATCAGATTTACCTGTCCCAGAGAATAGTTAGCTCTCGACGTGCTGCCGCACATGACGCGGTCGTGATCGATCGAGAGTCACGTCGCGGCTTTTCGAGCCGCGAATGACGGATGAAGAGTGTACCCAAACGTTCGCCAGTCAGATCTCAATGACGCTCAAACCCGAGAGACCTCGGAACTCGGGACAAAGAACGCAGCGCGAATATACACGATGTCACGAGGGAAATGCAATCCCGATGGGAAACGCAGGGATCCCGCGAGCACAACGACCGACGGTGCGTTATCCGCTGCACGCTGAATACGACGCGACGCTCGTACACCCGACGTCGATCTCTACGCGCAACGTCTATTTTTACTCCAACGCACGCTTCGAACGCACGTTTTCATCCCGATGCGAACTCGATACATACAAGACGGTTTCCTCTTAATATCGCGTTCCGTTGAATCACATATCTTTATTGCAAGCGAGCGTCGCGTCTTTTCGACTAGATAGACTGCAATAGAATCGAATAAAAGCTATGAGTTTTTCCGATTGAAAAATTAAAATTACTTTTTACTTTAATATGCTGTATAATGGTAAAATTTTGATGTTGTATACACTCTTTTTTGTGATTTAAATAATGTAACTCTAGTCGGAACAAAAGTTCGTAGCGCTACAAACTGCAAAAGTAGCTGTAACTTTTAATTTAAAAAATGGACAAAAATTAAATTTTAAAAAAAGTTTTAATATCCATAGTAAAAAATCACATTTACATCATAATATTCATGAAAAATTCAAGAATTCAAAATCGATTCACAATAGTTACGGATAAATTGTAACGTTACTGCGAGATTATTAAAAAGGTTTACACAATAATATTATTTTAGCTTAATCTGTATGTGTGTGTATTATATACTAGATGATCTTTATATTCCGATAATAAAGACTATTTATTTTACGCGTATGTGTTAAAATGCGAACAATTGTCTTTATTCTCGAAATATAAAGAACATCTTCTATATAAAAAATAGATATTTAAGGCATGATTCAGTTAAATGAATCTCAAATTCTATTTAGATTCTGTGTCATCAAGAGTATAATTAAAGCTATATCAGACCATCTATATGATTCAGTATTAGAGATACAAAGTCACGAAGATGTGATCCAACGAAGACGAGTCACGGTCGCAAACGTTGTCTTCGTCACGGATCTTCTGTTAGGGAAACATTGCATTGGTGCAATGCCAGACAGGAGAATGGCCGTTAGTTGAGCGAGCATAATGAAATGCTGTTTGTTCGCGAATCCTATTTCTGGATCTCAATGTCTCGAAACTGGAAAAGCTCAGCTTGTGACTACCGGCACCATTGTTTAGGCTTGAGGAAAGCGCGAGAGGATTTAGAGAAATGCCATGGCTGACAAAGGAAAATCCAATTGTTATGACCGGTTTTCGCGGAAAAGGACTAAACAGAAGACACGGAAAGAATGTCCGCGCATTACCTTCTCAAGCTCGAACTCCCGTATTCTGTGAATGGACCCTCCGATCGCCTTCTTCATTCCGCTCATCTCGATAATTCACTGTTATTATTTTTTGTATGGTTCAACGCGCGGACTCAATTGCGGCGACTAGACGTTACATCCCGCGTCGCTCATAAATCTCACAGTATCATCGGTCATCGTCCCGAAAAAATTCCGCTCTTCAAAATGTATCCAATCCTGTAAAACGTGATTGATGTATGAGACACTGACATCGTGATGAAAGAAGTATAAACATAAATAGAAATAATCATGTTACGGCGAATGTTCGTGCTGTATAACAACATGAAAAAGATTCCAACGTTATGATAGTAATACATGGTAAGAAGTAGGACGCGATGGAAATCGGGCGAATATACTTTATCGTAAAATGAGAGTCTAACGACGCGACATTTCTGACGGGAGACCATTAACGGCATGAAATCGCAATTCTGCAAGTGTATGCGTACTGTCGATGCAGCCGGACGCCGGCTAGTATTTTTGTGCCGTGTACAATTGTTGCGCAAGACGAGTATGGCTGCAAATTTCACGAGGAATGCACACGACATATATACATACGATTTGGCAGATCGCACCCATCGACAATAGATACAAGATGAGCGTTTCCGAAACATTTCTAGCAAATGGAAAGCGTATCGTGCGATCCTTCTCACGTAAAGACGTTACAACATTTGCGAATATTAAATCGATATTCCGGATTTCCTTGTCACTTTTCATTTATCCAATAAAAATAAGCGCGCACGTGTCTTTCTTTCATCTCGAGTTACGTATACGTATCATATATTATTCAAACAGAACAACAAACCACTGTAGGCATTTTCTGCCGTTGTAAGAAGGTCTCTTCGAGATCATGCCTGTTCGTACAGGAACGCGAGCGTCCGTTTACTTAAGAAAGAGGAGAGGGAAAAGGAGAAATTCGCGCGCGGAAGATTCCCGAATTTTCTAGACCGTCGCGGTTTTCCGTGAGATATGATTGGGCCCTCGGGGCCGCGTGATCGATTACTATTGGCTGTCCATCGATGTCCCCCCCCCCCCCTCCGTGCGGGGAAGGGACGAGGGAGAGACGCGGCTCGCGGAGAGCAGTCTAACGTAAGATTCTGACCAGTACGTTAATAATTTTGATATAGCTGTAACCCCACGCATACACCACGATAACGTCAAAACAATGTTAAAATAAGTAAATCATTATTGATTCAAGAATGATTTCTCATTTTAAAACCATTTTAACGTCATTTTGATGACGTGTCATGATGACGTTAAAGTATGACTTTGAAATGATCACTAAAAAAGTAACTTTTTAATGATTTACTATTTATTTTTATTGTTCTGCTTCGATACCCAGAGAAGAAAATGTACTATATTTTAATAAATAATTATTTGACTATGGCGTTAATATAATATTTACTAAATAAAAAGATATAATAATTAAATCAAATTAATGGTTGGTATCGAATAAATGTATGTTTAGTAAATACTGAATTGGTAGTATTCAAACAAATATATTTATTAAAATTTTATATATTTTTCTCTCAGAGTACAAAAATTAGGAAAAGTTATAAAATTTTAAATGTCATATTTATGATTATTTGATCTTGAAAAAGCAGAATTTAATTAAATATTTATGCCCACTCTATGTCCGTTTCTATTACCAACGTAGATTAATTTTAATCTCAGTTTAACTTACTTTTTTGTTTTTTTCTAGTTTCAAAAAATTAGAAAAAAATAAAGAGTAAGTTAAATCGAAATTAATGTTAAATCTACATTGATAGAAATAAACATTATTCGGTTATTAATTGGACAAACGAAATTCTCGTTGCCGGATTATCGCGCGCGTAAAGATTTCTCTCCGCTCTTCGTAGAAAATGCTTCCATACGATAATCGGGGAAACAAGCAAGCAGCTAATAAATGCATTTTATTCAAATCGCATTCATATAATCGAACGCGAACTTACGGTTGATGGAACTCGTGAATCGGTCTCCCGTCGTTATTTATGTAAGCATCGTTCACGATTCACGGAAACACGAACACTCACAGCACGGGGTTGTCCATGCAAATTTACAGATCGCGTGCACCACCCCGCTTCAGTAATTCGTCCGGCATGCCACGCTGGGATTCGAGGAAGCACTTGGAGCAGTGGAGACACGCAGGGGCACAATTAACACCACTGAGAAAGCGCGTGCCTCCGTCCCGGAGGCACATCTGCGGGGGAAATCCGCAGAAAACGCGGAAACATGCTTCTGGAAAATCTACGTTGAGAGTTAAGTCGATGTCTTTTTCTCTGTTCCGCAAATTTCGCAAATCGAGCGGCCACGCACCTCGAATGATCTCACAACTGGTCTGCCGTGTTCGGTGCACTGTTTGCCTGTCTGCAGTATTTATAAAACGCTAACCGGAAAGCGCGGTTGGCGAGCTGATCTTGGCGTTTTGCCGGCTTGCCCGCACACCCATCACCTCTTCCTAAGGGCGCGCATGATGTTGCGATCATTGTGAATCTAAATTGCGTGCCATCGGGATTTGAGCTCGCATCAACAAATTTTAAGCAATCGCAATTATACTTTGTTTGAATTTTTTTAACTCTGAATAAAAATTCAATATCATATTTTAAATAGAAAAGAGGTTACTTATAATTGAAGCTAATCTTAAATAGTCTTCAATAATTGCTGATATTGACATCGTCTTGTGTGTCGTCTTTTCAAATTATACGGATACAAGGCATTTGCATTAAATAATAATAAATGTTAAACTGATATTTATATGCAGTAATAAATATTAAAATGGTAATTTTTTGTGACGATCGAGCCATGCAAAATCTTATAAGCTGCGATTTATGCTTTATTTATGCGCGAAAGTAACCATATGTGTATGCGTGAGGTCGAAGAATGAAATAAAAATGGAAATTACTTTTCTTGTGTCATTCAAGCGATCATTTGTATTGTTGTGAAATGTGTAACGTTTGATAATAGGGAGATTATAGTTATTAGTTTATAATTCTATTGTAAAAAAAATGTTTATATTTTATATTCATTATCAACACTTTCGATAATATTGGTAATAAGTGATTGCTATATACGTACTTATACCCGACGACGCGACGTAAGTATGATTAAGTACATATAAAATATTGATAAATGGTATTATCAAGTATTTTCAACACACAGTTGATCGATAATTCTAGAGCACAAAGGTTAATTTTTATTGTTTCTCGATGAAAAATGCGATGAGAATATAAATAAATTCTACGTGATATTTCGTATTGTATAAAAAAATTACCATATTGTTTACGGCCATAGTTTTTGTATATTATCGGTCTATTTATTTTACATTGCATATATAAACATTTAATACGAATTTACAAGCGTGCAATAAAATTAAATATTCATCACGCGTCGCCCGAAACGTATGACGTTGTGTAACTCCAAAATCAACATGTCTGGATTTTGCAATATTACCGAATCGGTAAATATGATTTCGTCGAATTCGCATTAATTCCCATATATCATCGAGCGAGAAATAAAAATATCTCTTGGATATTTTTTAACA